TCAGTGTTTCGAAAAGGACCTTCGGATGATGGACATGGATGGAACAAGTTGAAGAAGCCTTGGAACTTCTTGGGCAATACCCAGAGGACCCAATTTACCCCTTAATTAAGGGATTTTTACCTTCATCACCGTTGACACCCTACTCGTCCACGCCGCCTTCAAACGCCCTGAGCGTCGTGGGCAGGCGCCTTTTCCAGGCGTCAGCGAAAAGGCGCCAAGCGCTATTGGCACTTACGAGAGAAGCTCCCCCCACCTTTTTCGGGTGCCTTCCTCCCTGCCTTGTCTACAATTTCATAATTTCTTGTAAAGCCCAGATCTAAACCCACCGCAGTTCGGAGAGTTCTGTGCCGCCCAGGGGCATGTAACGTCCTTGGCAACTCTGTACTGCGGAAAGGAGCCCAGCTTCCTTGTACAGGTTTCTCGCATTTCTGCTTTATAGAACAACAAGGCTGGACCCTCTAGGGCCTACATGGGCCTGCACCTCTTGGTTTCTTGGCAAAAAGGGTACGGGCTGAATCTTCAGGTCTTCGAGTCTAGGAGTCTTGGAGCGGGGTAGACACAAGACTTTCTGATTTTGGGGCATTTTGTCCGTTTCCCTACAGGTGCACATGGAAGTTCACTTCTACCCAAAGCAAAACCCACAACCCTAAAGCCACTCGAGTTGCGTTTCGAGCTGTCAGAGGTCGTGCTTGACTTCATCGGAAGTTGAACTACCGCACAAGGAGATCTCCTTATCTCAGCAGAACAGCCTGTCCCGCCGCCTGAAGATTGCTTACCATGAAGGAGCGACTGCAACCAACAACCTAAAGGCTAGGACACTGTCTGACCTGCCACTTCACCTTTAACCCTTGAAGATCGTTTTTAGCCACTTTGGCGAAATCTCTTCTGGTACTGGTGGCTTCGCTCTTCCTTCTAAAGAGTTTCCGGAGCCATTCTTTTGGGGCGAAGCCGGTTCGGTTCACCAGCTGCACTTAGATCACACCAAGTGAAGCCCATCGATGAATGCCAGTAGCTGTCAGCTGAAAATCTAAACCCTAAAGCCTCAAGCCCTAAACTCCTAAGCCCTGAACACGGCTTCGTGTTCCAAAGCTTCCTTGGCCAGCTGAACGTTTCCATTTTTCATGGAATGCTTTCGATTGATGCTGGCGTGCCCAAGACCCAGAGATGAAGCTCAAAGCCCCTACTTAGCCGAAAGCAACCCGAACCCCCAAAGGGTCAAAAGGCGGACCCTAAACCCTAAAACCCTAAACCCCTAAACCCCAAAACCCTAAAAAACCCCTAAACCCCTAAAGCCCTAACCCCCTAAAAACCCTAAAAACCATTAAAACCACCAAACACCCTAAAAACCCCTAAAAACCCTAACCCTAAAAATCCCAAAAGGGCTTTGGACACTCCGAGGCCCATCCCCTAAACCCTAAAAAACCCCAAAAACCTTAAAACACTCTAAAAACGCCCAAAAAGCCCTAAAGTTCTAAGACTCCCACAAAGAGCTTTGGGCACTCCGAGGCTCTTCTCAAAGTCAGGTCGGCCCTCGGTCCGCCCAGCTGGGCAGTAGGTGCCCTCCCAGGCCTGCAGCTCTTTTTGGGGCAAGGATGGGTTCTTGTTATAGGGTTGAATTAGGGTTTATTAGGGTTTATAGGGTTTTTTAGGCAGCTCGTTAGGGCAAGGATGGGTTTCTTGTTATAGGGTTAATTAGGGGTTTATTCGGGGTTTATGAGGCTTATAGGATTTAGGGCAAGGATGGGTTCTTGTCATAGGGTTTAATTAGGGCTTATTTGGGGTTTATGGGGCTTATAGGGTTTAGGGCAAGGATGGGTCCTTGCTGAGGGAGGATTGATAGGGTGTTTTAGGCAGCTCTAAGGGCAAGGATGGTTTCTTGTTAAGAGAGTTATAGGGTTGGGTTTATAGGGTTTTTTGGGTTCATCGGGTTTATAGGGCTTATAGGGTTTAGGGTTTCTTGTTTTAGGGTTTGTTAGGGTTGGTTAGGGTTTATAGGGTTTATTAGGGTTTCTAGGGTTTAGGGTTCTTGTTAAGGGGTTTATCTTAAGTTACCATAATAGGGATGTATAGTAAATAACATGGTTTCCTCATTATGGTCCTTATGGTCCAACTTATGGTAACTTAAATTAAACCATTTAACAAGAGCCCAGCAAGGATGCAGTCTGTGCCACCGTAGAATGACATCTACAGAGTTGCCACTCGCTCTGAATAAGGAGTAAACGCTATCATTTCTCCGCATATGCCCAGCCTGCAGTTTGCACGGCCATCTTTACTGAACATAGCATGAACCCTGGTACTTTTTTCAGTAAAATCAAACTATAAATGACTGCCTGAACACAAGACATGCACGAAGTAGTGACCAAGCCATCCATTGATAATTACAAGAGTGGAACATGGACACACGGAAATAGATTGATACCTGGACATGTACGTACCGAAGTAAATAATACTTATCTACAGGAGAACATGACTGCCATCAGGAACTGCCCAACGAAAGTATGAATGAAATCACTGTCAAGTAAACGCACGTATCAAATGAGCAACTCAACACATGAACTCGCAGACAAGGCAACACAATGGACACTTCGAGTTTCAGCAACTTGCGTAGACAAGAAAAGTCGAAGCGAACGAAGACAGTAAGAAACCCACCAGCGCATGAACGAGTGAATCACTGAATAACTAGGCCCCTATGCAGCACAATAAACGATGCACGCATGACATAACGTGATGTAACAAACACAGCATTGCACGGTATTATCTAGCACAAAACATAAGTGTAAGCGCGCATCCCACATTCCATAGCTAACATGTTTCATGTTGTTCGTTGCTTGTCAGGTTTTCCATGGGGTATGCGTGACGGCAGCTGGGGTAGTAGCAAGGACCTAAATCTGTGTAAAGCAAAACGTAAAGCAAAACATATCAACACACTCATGACATGTATACCATACATACAACAAAAGCAACAAACATAACACACACACACACAGAGGCATGCACACCGACGCACATACATACATACATAAATACATACATACATACACACAGAGAGACATACAGACATACATACATACATACATACACACACACATAGCCACACACACACATACAGACCTACCTACATGAAACAATACATAGAACATTAACAATGTATGTTATGTATATGTATGTGTATGTATATGCAGACACATATATCTATATACATACACCGACCAACATTCACACACGCATGCCCGCTTACATACCTAATGTACATACAGACGTACTTGCATCAATATATACTTGCATACATGCATGCATGCGCAGCTTACTACATACATACAATTTACATACATACATACATACAGACATACATACATGTATACATACATACATACTTACTTACGTATGTACGTACGTACGTATGCACACGCACATAGATGCATTTAGTTCTATTCGTGTTCCGTCGCTCGCCTGCAGACATATGTACGTAGGTATGTAGGTATGCACATACATACAGAATTATACATGCATACGCACATAAACATACATGCAAATATAAACATCATACATCAATGCGCTCGTACGTACATGCATTTTTACACACATACATCCATACCTACATACGTAAGTACCTACCTACCGCATGCGCGCACATACAAACGTGCATGCGTGCATGCATGGTACATGCATGCATTGCCTGCAATACATACGTTACATACTTTATATACACTGCTATACTTCACATACGTTCCAAGTGCATACCTGACACAGCATTACATGCATATTACACGAAGAGTAATATTACATAGCCTAACCAAAATGCAACATAACAGACCCGATCGAATATAGCATCGCATAACATGCAAAGTATAGTACAGCTCAGCGCACCATAACACAGCATTGCATAACATTCACCATAACCTTGGCATGAATATGAACACAGCGTTAGCATAGCATGATGTACAAGTATCATAACAATACCATACATGCATACATCGCATATGCATATACATATGCTTTATATACACATACATATATGTGCACACATGCAAAATATGTACATACATATGCAGATATGTGCATGTACATTCCTGTACATACAACACAGACGCTTATTATAACATGTGTGCCTAGTGTCTTGTGGATGTTAGGAATGTATACGGAACATTCACAACCTGCACAATGCACAGACATACAGACAACCAGAAATGCATCCGTCAACACATAAGCAAGCCAGTGAATCCATGAAATATGCCAGAGCAAACAAATCCATAGACGGGTGGACGCTAAGATAGACAAGCAATGTGCACATACGTGAATCAGTACATGCATGAATTGTCAAAGTTGAGCAGGTGGATAGGGGATTGGGATCGGAAAAAGCGACAAAAAAGGGAGCCCAAGTGGATAGATACACAAAGCAATGAAACATAAGAAGTGCAGGAATACACAAGTGAATCAGAAACAAGCATCAAGTTTGTAGACAAAAAGCCTGCTAACAAACACCAACACACACACACAGACACAGAGACACACACACACACACACGCACGCACGCACGCACGCACGCACCCACCCACCCACACACACACACACACACACACACACCCACCCGCGCACACACACACACACAGACAGAGAGAGAGACACACACACACACACACATAATGAAACATGTAATGAAAGTACAGCAATGAGGGCACAAGCACAACGAAACGCTCACATACCATATACATAGTACGGGGATCCTTGCGCAAAGGGCATGTGGTCGGGGAACCTGAGAATGCTCAACATACCGGCTAAGGTTTGAAACAGTTCTGTAGAAGGCGGCCCTGCTGTGAGTAGAGTATGTGTACATACAGATTCACATCAGGTGTCCTCTCGTTCTCATCGGTCATCTGGGTGTCTTGGTGTCGTGGCTATAAACATGCCGCTGAACATTTAGTCAATGAGACTCTGCCGGCAACGCCACCTATTTGTGCAGCTATCTGCTATGTTCGTAAAGCACGTACTCTGGCGGAGGCCTTCGCAGTTGTGACGCTCCCCTGGGCAGGCGGAGGGTGGAAGCTCTAAGATGCAGCAAGAGCTCCCATGCGGAGGCATCTCCAGGTTTAACGTCCCCGTTGTCGACGGGCTGGTGTGGGTTTAGGGTTTACCGATGTAGAGATATCCAAAGCAACTCCAAGGCCGTCAGCCACCAACCGCCAAAAGGGCCAAGTCCGGGGCACGTCCCAACACTTTGAACCACTCCCGGACCCAAAGCCCCGAAAGGTAGGAAGAATCGTAAGCGCTCCTCTCGGCCCGATCGGTCCAAGACCTAACTCCAAGCAAACAGAGAATGTGTCACGAACTACGGCGGCTTAAGTTTCTTTTGCCACTGCTGTTTCAGCCGGTGCTACTGCAGGAAATGTATTCAGGAGTTTGCAGTGTGGCCTGGCTCTCCACGCAGCAAAGAAACACTTCCCCCACAACCCCGCGGATGCGCCTTTTCGTGCTTCAGATCTTCTTTGGGGATCGTCACCTTGGAGTTGCTAGTGTCGGGCCCTTCGTAGTGCACCTTCATGGTCTCGCCACCTCCGCCCTCGCAAAAGTCCACGATCAGCTCGTGAGCGCCTGAGCTCAGCAGCTTCGAGCTGCTACTTCTCTCCCTCGTACCGTGGCAGCCGTCGTTGTCGACAATCTTCTCCCCGTTCAAGTACAGGTTCGAACCTCTCACACCGGATTGACGGCTGCTTTCCAGTGCCCTCCCGCATGTCATGCCCCCGCCCCCACCCCTTGCCCTTGCCCTTGTCCAGGGGCCATCGTCCGAGGTGGTGTAGAACTTGTAGTTGCCCTCTTGTTGTACAAGAAGAAACCCTTTGCACCTGCGCAGGCATCGATAGGCCCCCACCCCGTTTCTTGCTCGGCACTCCACCTTGCCTCTGGCAGAAGTTGTTGGTTTGTTGAATGTTGGGGAAGTTGCCGCTCTCCTGACGGCACGTGTCACCATCTGAACGCTTCCCGAAGTTCTCTGAGCTGCCCGGTCCATGTAGAGATTGTCCACGAGAGCGCTGTGGGACGGGGTCCTTGAAAAAGCCGCGCCGCTGCGGGAAAGAAAGGCGGGGTCGAGGGGTAGCGGGAGGACAACGGCTTCGTGCTACCAAGTGCTGCCAAGGCTCAGGGTACCGAGGTTCGGGATATTGCACTGAGCCTCGTCGTAGTAGAAGTAATCGCACTCCAGGCCGTCCTTGGGGTCCTCACACTGGTGCATTCTGTCGACCAGGCTATGCTTCGACCCCCGTCGCCCTCTTGCACTAGTCTTCCCTCAAAAACTGCCTCAGGTAGGAGCAACGGCCCCGTTCGCACGCTGACCGGAGGTGCCAAGGGCAGCCTGCAGCACCTTGAGGGGTCGAATCTTTGATTTGCATGCAACGCAACACCTTACAAGGCTCTGTAAAGGCCCTCATCTGCGACATTGCTAATTCACGCAGACTCGTGCAGCCTTGCTTCGATCCCTCTCTGAGCCTTCGACCATAAGCCTTTCGATTCACCCACAAAACGTGCGTCTTCGAAGCCAAGCTGCAAACTCCGAGCTGTCACAATACCAACTTCCTACGCGCATGCCTGCAAACATCGGCAAACACCCGCCTCAAACAGAGAGCCATAAGACTCTCGTGTGGCTGAGGCATGCGCACGAAGCTGAAGCGAACCTCGCCTTGCAACGTCCTCGGTTACTTCGGCCAGTGGTGGTTCAGCCAAGTTCCTGTTGGTTCATTGGCATGACTAATGTAGTTCCTTTGCTTTAGGTTTGCGATCACATAAACATCTGCATGAATCTGGTATGGCATAGCATCGGGTGAGGTCTTTTTGCACAGATGCATAAGTTATGCACTAAGGATCTTACCTAGAGTCTCCATTGTAGTTCCTTTTTTTGGTTTAACCAATTTTTTACTAAGGATCCTAAGGTAACCCCAAAAAGGAACTACAAGGGAGACTAGGATCTTCGGGCTCCTCTTAGCTTCAAAGCGGCTCCCCTTCTGCCACCTCCGGAACCTGTGCTTCGAGCAGGAACCGCTTCAGGCCGCTGTCGCTGGGGCACCTCGCGACAGGAGAGACTTATCCAACAAAAAGCAACTTTGGAGGACGGGGGTTTACAAAAGCTAGAGATGCAACATCCATGGAGTTGAGGGAAGTGCCCACTAAGGGGCAGTACGGAATGTCTCTAATCTGCACAGCCGGAAGCCCCTCCCTATTGGAGAGAAATCGCTGGCGAACATCCGAGGATAACCCACAACGCCAAGCATACACCCGACTGGGGTGCAGCAGACGGTGCCTCAAAGAGCCTCAAGATAAGATGGGACATGAGGCACCCTGCTCCGAGAGGGTCTCAAAGGGTTCTACACAAGAGAGAAACCGGGTCCAAGTAGAGCCGAAAGCCTGAGCGACATGAAGCCCAATGCCTCACAGCTATTCGGGTGGAAGGCAGTGGAAGCTCTGCATCAGCTCACTGTGGCAGTCGTCAGTAGTATGCCGAATGTCACAACCATCGCCACAACACCAAAAGTCACTGATCTTTTTAGGGTTTAGGGGCCACAACACCAAAAGTCACTGATCTGCAGCGATTCCAGCTTTCGTCTTGCGGGAAGCGCATGAATTCCCAGAGCTTTAGAGCTGAAGCCCTGATCTGACGACGAGCCATCGGACCTACGGTGGATGCTATAAATCCTTTAGCATTACCCATAATCAGGAATATACCATAATTCACATAGTTTAGGCTCCTAAAGGTAATGCTAAGGATTTATATCATCAACAGCATGACCCTGCAACTTGCAAGGAGCCTGAAATCATCGAGCCAAGCTTTGGAAGCAAGCCTTATATAACCCAAGGATGTCTGCCAGAGCGAAGGCTCCCTATTAGGGTTCGAGCTCCAGGGGCTCCAGGATGCTTCCGCGCAAGAAAACCGGGGGGGAACAGGCGGAGGAGTTTTTTTTTTTCTTCGTCTGGCTTGGCTCGGTGTGGCTTGGGGAGGGGCAGAAAAATGTTGTTTTCTCTTCGTCTGGCTTGGTTCGGTTTTTCTTCGTCTGGCTTGGCTCAGTGGGGCTTGGCG